TCTTTCTCGTCATTGGTGTAAAATAATTAAGAACTTTGATACAATTTGTTCCCTGTTCACCAACAGCTAATTCGATTTCATAAGCACGACAGGACGAACCCCTTCGTTGCGGCTCGAAACGGACCGACGATCGAGCGAATCGAGGTTTAAAAAGCCGAAGATGGTGCATGGTTTTGCGTAATGCTCCGCCGAGTATGACCGTCGGGTGGTTCGTAGCGAATCCAATTAGGTTTGCGACGGTCGGACAAAAACATTTGATCGGGAATAAACCGGCACCGGTCGCTCCTCACGAAGACGGCCCTCGAGACTCGCTTCCCCGTTCGTGAGCCGTGTATAATATACGTTCCAGTCAATTGCAAGCTGTATATCAGTCGGCCTCTTCTCCGTGCAGCGCTGACAATGTACAATATTCAACTTTTTTTTTTTCTCTCATGCCATGGTTCATCAAATATCTTATAATTTCGCCTGGCTATTATCTTAATCTCTGTGCTATGTACTATAGCATCCAAAAGTTCATTGCCCGGCATTATAGAATTTCGATACCCGTGAAATCGATTCTCTCTCGCTCTGTTTGTCATTTGCAATGCAAAAAAAGAAAGGATGCAAAGCCATCTTGATTTCTACCTGCAACAAAATTACACGTACATTACTGCGTGGTTCTTTCATTATTCGAATAAAAAGAAAGAAAGAGGATGGTCGTTTTTGGAAATCGACAAAATGTATCCAAAATTCACGTGACAGATTGTTATCGAACCGTGTGTATCTTTTCAATCGGAGTAATAATAGCTCTGCACGCGTGAAGATCGTTTCTCTTTTCTGAATTGCCCTGTATGCACGCTCCGTTTCGTGCATGGTGAAAGAAGGAAGAAAGCAAAGGGGAAGGAGCAAGAGGAAAACCGACGAGCCTGTAACAGATAACAATGGGCCATTTGTTAGATGGTCGAACTCTCGCAACCTACAATGGACACCATTATCAGCTACTAACCGTTTTGTTAAACCTATTGTGCAGGAGATCCGGAACAACCCCCATCCTCCGTCCTCCGAGACTGGAAACCTCGGCTTTTAAAAATGAAGATATCGTTGTAGAATTTCTCAGGCAATATGTCGGCCATGATATCGGGCATCTGTCAAAGAAAACAAATGGTACGTTACACACCTTTGACACAATAGCGTTTCCTTTAATTCGTTTTCAACTAATATATAAATATAAATGAAACAAACATGATGAAACGTAATGAAAGTAGGCTGCTATGTATGTTCAACGTGTTATCGTTGGAGTGCTAAATTAAATTACATAGCTCCTTTCCCGAGATCCCATCGGCGACAGTTCACCACTCGCGAAGTTCGGTCCGTGGCAACGCATCTATCCAGTATCATGTATTATTCATCAACCGGGCTTTTATTCGAACCCCGTGGTCGGAAATAGTAATGCAGTCGCCAACCAACCCATCTCAGCCGCTGGTTTTCTACTTTTCTGTCGATTTCGGCTACATACGGGGGATCGTTCATCTCTCGGCTCCCATAAGTGGCCGTGAAGAATCGCGAACAAACCTGACTGTCGATCAAGATGAATCGTTTCCCTCCAAGAGTCTCCATTGCTGTAGTAGCGAAGCATTCACAGTTTCTAAGGAATCAATCGATCGATATTATTGATTAAAGTGGTAACCCGGTAAGAAATGCATTAGACGCTGGAACACGAACGCGAGATTTAATATTTCATCATTTGGAAAGATTGTTTCATAATACAGTGTCTACAGACGATCCAGAAGTATTCCTCTTTTGATCACAAAATGAAGTTTGAATATGTACAATGAGTGGTAACGTGCTTTCATGGAAACTAGGTTATAGGACACGCTACAGATGTCTCTCGTGCTCTTTTCGTTCGTAATGTTCGGTGGTAATTAAACTGTAGATCGTCCGAGCTCACTTACGAGAAATTATAAGTATAGTGTAAATGCATAGAATACATGTGACATGGAAAGGCACGTGAAATATTCAAACTATAATGCGTGTTCGATACAATGTTTAGTACGATTCTTGGAGGATCAGTTTACGCGAAACGACGTGCACATTTTTACATTTTCAGTACACACGTTTTCTGTATCTACTGCAAGACATCCAGTACATGGCGAGAACGTCTCCGTATACCCTTTCGTCACCTGCACCTGTCTGTAGAAAGTTTCTGACGATCTGGTACGTTGCTGGAGAGATCAATCGCGTCGCGAGGAATTGTTCGTCTCTTTGTGAGGCGCGAAAAATGTTTGCGGCCTGACCGACCACAAGCGCCAGAGTGTAAAATCATGCATGTCGTATATACCACGGCACCTAACAAGCCGGCCTTTGTAACGGATTGCAAAACGACCATGGAAGTATGGTCGAACAGCCGTTGTGAGGAATACCGTACTAACTAAGAAGGACCTCGCCGAGAGAACCGATGAAACACTATCTTGAAATTTGTTCCTTTCTCGAGATGTATTGTATTTCAAAAGTATTACGTAATGGAAATTGTAATTGCAAGAAGAACCTGAGATACTTGATAAACTTGCTACCCAACGCAGGGTCTCTTTTTACGTGTTTAACCCTCTATAGACAGAATATTTTTCTTGGCTGTAAAAAAATTTATGTAACGTAAAATCAACAAATATCAACCTATACTACGGATTAACAATGAATTCAGCAGTTTTAAAAATTTTATTATAACGAGTAATAAAACTGACGTTTTAGGATAGAGGTGATAACTGTTATCAAGAATATTGTAATAGACATTGTACAACAAGACATGTACGCCATCTTGTGGAAAAAAGTTCAATTATTTAATAAAATATCGATATATTAATACGTGACTTGAAAGTTGTATGACAGGCCTATAGAGGGTTAATTAAAATTTTTAAAAACATCTCCTCGACGATTATTTTCATTTTTAGATGCGCAATCAGTCCTTTCGGAATATGAATAGAGATAGCAGTTACTTCATTCTTCGATCGTACTGCGAAATAACGTAAATTCGAAGTGGTTTGTCGTCGATCGTTCGCGTTCGATCGATTTCTGACACCTCGCGGATTATTCGAAAGATTCGAGACAAGCCGAGAGATACCGATAAGTCAATAAGCGAGCCCGGTGTCAGGCCAAAGGGAACAAAGTCCAAACTGCAACAGTGAATTCTCTTTGCCGAATGCAAAGACAGACGGAGGGAGGAACAAGAAGGGGAATAGAAGATGAAGTACGAAAGAGAACGGAGAGAAGAAACGAAGAGGAGGAACCCGGCCAAAGACGTTTAAAAACTGGTTCCTTCCACCCATTTCTTTTCACCTTATTTGCTAATCCGAATTCTGATTTCCATATATCCGCATATACGATATTCGAGTCCCGGCGGAGATCGGTATCGGCTGGTAGACCGTAAAATATGTCGACGGGACTGTCTCTCTTGATTTATCAGATAAATAACAGATGTTTATCACCTCGAGAAACGTGCCTGCGTTTAATAACGTTATTCGCGAATTTACCGGGACGTGCAAGAAAATTCGCAAAAAAGCGTCGCGACATTGTTTATGTAAATTGCTTCATCTCCGATAATTGATAGATTTTATCGATCGTAAAAATCGAGTTTGAATTCACAGCTTTTAAAATATTTTTACACGAAGGCATATTTTCATGCCTCAATCTCGCATTATCTTGTTTCGGCAAAATAAAAAAATTGCAATTAAATTAAACGACTCTTTCATATTTCAAAAAAAGACAGTGACACAATAGATTATGTCAGGAAGCACGATCGATCAAGTTTCAAGGGGAGCATCGAATATCGATCCCGCGAATTGTTGTGCACGCACCCTTATCCCCGAATCGGGACCCCTTAAGAGATAGAGATCTTGCTCGTGGTCCCGCAGCAAGAAGACGGGCTGCTGTAGACTGCAGACCTTTTCTCATTGAGTCAGTCAGTCAGTCAGTCAGTTTGCCGCAGCGACGCGGCCTGTACGTACGTACGTGCGTGTGTATATACGCGTCTTGTTGACTTAACGCATCGTGCGATCGGTAGGGCTGCATTATCGACAGAGCAGAGAGCAGAAAGCTGCGGTGGGACATCGGCGAAATTGGTCGTCGGTCAACCGGTCGTTGGTCGTTCTCCCGACTCCCCCGGGACTTGATCCCCACTGAAGCTTCGCGCACTGAAGGTTCTCACACTGGGTTGTGTCAGCTCGTTAGATTGCGTGCGTGAGAACGTGCCCGTTCGTCTCGAGTCTCGCCGTGAAATCCCGTATTTCACGCGTCGAATCGTGGCGTGTTCCGTCAGCCTGCACACATCGAAACACACGAGTGGCACACACACACACACACACACACGCACGCACACACGCACGCACACATACACACATTAACGAATATATACCAGAGCAGAGAACTGAGTGGAGAAAGAGAGAGAGAGAGAGAGAGAGAGAGAGAGA